TGGTAAAGCTAATGGATCTAAACCATTGTTGGATCTTTCACCATTAGGGTGGTTGCAAATATCTGCACTAATCCTAGGGTGGCCAATTTATTATACCCAACAGACATGGCTTCACATGTACAACTGATTCATCAGGCAAGGGATTCTATACAATGGATATTTCCCCTGGGCATCTGTCTAAGGTCTCATCTGTCTCCATGTTCTTTGGGAAGAAATATGTTTTCACACATTAAGTTATCACCAGCAGTACACACCCATCACCATCATTTTTAGCTGAATGAAACTCATCATCATCTTTAGCTCACATCTGGTCTTCCTCTTGTGTTCCTTATTTCATCAAAGGGCACTGAATGTACCCTGTTGCTCAAGTCCAAGAACAAGGGTGTCATCCCTAACTTCTCCCTTTCTCTTGGCTGCCTTACCTGATTAAGCTCACTTCTTGTAGATATCTGCAGATTCTCCCAATGTTCACTGCTACTATCTTAGTTTGGACCACCATCACAGTGCCATAGGATTATCTCTAGAGTCTCCAAAATACCTCTTGCTAATGCTGACTCTACTGCAGATAGTGATCTTTTTCAAACACAAGTCTAAACCCTTAAATGTGTCTTGAGACTTGGGTTTCTTTTATATCTCCGAAGCTCAATTTTTGTCACTCCTCGCTTCAATTTCAATGCTCCTGTCAAACTGAACAATTTAATTTCCTAAGCTGTGACAGCAAGGCTGTTCCTTCATCCCAGAATGCCCAGCTCCTTTCTGTCACTTCTTTGTCTGGCCAGCTCCTGAACATCTGCCTCAATTTAGCTATCATGTTCTAGTTTGAACACTTACCAATAGTTGGTGAGATGCAGCCTGGATCTAAATTTTTTGCATTTAAGCTTTTGAACTATAACCATTTTAGTGTAAGCTGCCTGAGTGGAGGACAGTGTCATTTTAGTATATGTCTCTAGTGCCCAGTAAGTCAAAATACCTACTTAAGAGTGAATAATAAACAGCCAGCTCACCATAAATTCACTTTGGAGTAAATGTGAACTTGCCACGACGTCTCTCAGCTGTGACCTTGTGAGAATTCGGCTGGCTGACTGCAGATACTCCATCGCTACCTTCTCCCGTGGGGTTGGTATGGTCACAAAGGGTTCAACGTTCCCCAAGCTACTCATGTCCAATGTAAGAGATACGTTGGACCCTCGTCTACATTGGAGAAGAATGTTATTAGGTTTAAACACTGCATGAATTATTTTGAGCATATAAGTTTGTCTTTCTGTATATACACACACAATTCAGTAGGAACTATTACAGAAATAAAGACCAAATGTTTTCTTTTATGGTACCATAGTTGACTACAGCAACTACTCATAGTTTCTTTATAGGAAACCGACAGTTTTGTTGTCAGAAATAACTCTGAATTGAGAAAATGCACTATAATTTATTAAGGGGTATAGCTGCTACAGAAAAAACAAGATGGCTAATGATATGGAGTGAAAATTTTAGGAAAAGTAAACATCACATTTGAATTGAGGAATGAGATGTAACACAAACCAACTTTATTTATGTGTATATATGAGAATCTAGTATATAATCCTATATCCACTGACATCAATATACTATACTCATGATTTTACTGAACACAGAAAGCTCAGAGGAGAAAAACAATCTTTTTATTTTAGTTCAAGTTATTGCCATTGACCTAGAATTTAAAAGTTTAAAATGTATACATTTTTTTGAACTTCTGATGAATCCCTAAAAGGTAGCTTTGCATCTTCCATTTAAGTATGTATGTAGATATGCAAGTATATGTATGTATTTGCATATGCATGCATGTGCTTATTTAATTCTGTGATAAATTTATAAGGGACCATAAAGACCACAGACCCTTGTTCTAAGTTACAATTGACTTTCCCTTTGTCATTCCCCTCCTCTGGTTGGGAGTCAAGGTGGGGTTCTTCCAACATAGAAAGGCTCCTTGCATCCTAAATAGAAGGTATGAGTGTCTCTTACTAGTACATTAGCTGTGTGGAACCAAGGAGTAACTATAAAATAGTATGTGCTGAGGGTCAAAGTCAGAGATTGTATTTAAAGAATTGTTAAATTTAAAGAGGCCTGAGGTATGAGTCAGGTGGTCAAGTATGGCGCCAAGTGGTTGGTGAACCAAGGGAATGGACAGCAGGCAAACACAGGTCAAAACAAGTTGACTAAAGAGAATACAAGTAGAGACTAGGTCCAGCATGCCATTTCCTTTGAATGGTGTTGTGCATGTGTGGAGTATTACATCAGGAAATACGTGGCTGGAGCTTAATTTTAAGAAATGGAAAATTATTAGAACATACCACAAAAAATCCATTAAAAAAATATCAGTTCTTTCCTCCTATGAATTTGCTTCTCGTTGCAGCTTTGGTGTCGTTCTATAGTTTGATACATAATGTTGTTATTCTCATTAATTTCTAAGTGGTCTGTAATTGTAGTTTTAACTCTTGCTTTAATCCGATGGTAATTTAAGTGTTTGCCCATTTATTTTCCTTATTCATGTCTATTTATAGTACATGGAAATCAGAATGACTGGATTTCTAATTATTGGGATTTCTTGATTCTTTTTTTGAGACAAACACTATAATAAAATTTCCTCAATATTTCACAGATGTTTTGCTGGCTGCTAGTTTATAAAACATATATATACACACATATGTACATTACATCACTTTATATATTATATTATGATGTATTATTAAATATACCATTCCAATCTATTTTTTCTTTATTTTTTTCCTACTAGATTTCTCATAGCTTGAGATATGTATGTGAGTCTTCCATGATAACTACGTTTGTTATTTTTCCTTATATTTCTAACATTTATATATTTCAGCCATTATCTTACTTGAAGAGATTTATAACTGTATCTTCACTGTAAATTTTACCAATATTCGATACTTTCCTTCTCATTAATTTTATGTCTGGGCTCACATCTGACTCTTTCCCCCAGTTTTACTGAGACATAATTGATACCCAGCACTGTGTAACTTTAAGGTCTACAGCATCATGGTTTGATTTACATAAGTTATAAAATGATTACCACAGTAAGTTTAGTTAACATCCACCATCTCATATAGATAACAAATAACAAGTTTTTTTTCCTTGTAGTGAGAACTTCTACGCTCTATTCTCTTAACAACTTTCAAATACCCCATTCAGTAGTGTTAACTACAGTCCTCATGTTGTATACTACACCCCTAGTACATATTTATCTTATAACTGGAATTTTGTACAATTTGACCACCTTCATCCAATTCACCCTCCCTCCACCCCCCCACATACAACTTGAAAAAAATTAATATTGACATACCTGCTATTTTTTTTTGGCATGTTCTTGAAAAACCTTTTATAGTTTCTATTATGTTTAATGCTTTTGAATCACTGCATTAGCTGATTAAGAGACAGCATTCTGGTTACCTCACTAACTATCACCTACCTGACTGAGGAATGGTTGCCCCCTCCCCATCTTGTTGGTGGCTGCTGGTGGCGATGGACACGGCTCCTGTGTTTCTGAGTAGGGGAAAGCAGTTGGGGAGGAACAAAGACTGGTTCTACTTCCAGGCCAAGAATTTTAATCTGTTTTTTTGTGGGAAAGCAGCTTTTAAAGTTTCCCAAACCAGTTCTTTTGGCCTTTAAACTGCAGAAATTCCTTCCTGATTCTGATGTGCCTTATTGGTCTTAGTTTTTAGTGTATTTGTGAGAACTTGACTTTTGCTGGTTTCATACGTGTTTTACTAAGGAGCTGGGAGAAGCAGCTTAAGGGATTGCTAATCAAATGCTATTTTAAACTACTATTCCATTCAGTCCATTTTCAGCCCTAAAATACAAAACTTGTCAATTGGAGGCTACTCAGTGCTACCATGGTTTAGCAGAAAGCAAGGTCTCTTCCGTCCAGAGTGGTCAGAGTAAATGTACGAAGGAGGATGAATTGAGTTGGGTCTTGAAGATAAAAGATAAATTTGGGGTAAGGGTTATTTCAGAGAGACAGTCTGGCAGGAAAAAAAAAGAAGTGTGAGAACAGGAAATGATAAGGCATCTCTGAGAAATCACCGAGCAGCAATTTGAGCTGGAGTTCAGTTGTGTAGAAATGTATTTTGGAATTGGGGGGCAGGGTCACGTAGAAGAGCTGAGAGAGAAACAAGAGTCATAGAAATAACACTATAAAAAGCCTGCCCAGGTCCAGAAAAGAGAGAATTCAGAACATCAGGTTATATCAACTTCCGTTTTGGCTTACATTTAGCATACTCAGCCCAGACCTGGACGATTAAGAGCCTCTAGGATCCACGCCTAAGGTCCTTTTGATCTAATGAGTACATTTTCTAAGGATTCTGGGATCAACTGGGAACCATGGAAGCATTTTCATTCAACGTGACTTGGTAAGGGAGAATGTCCAGCAAGGGAAGAAAGAAAGGAAACAAATATGTATTAAGCACCTACTATTTGCCAAGCTCTGTTCTAAGCACTTTCACACACAGTATCTCAATCTTCACAGCAGCTCTCTCCGGTATTATTTCCCCCCATTTCACAGGTATAGAAATAATGAACAGGAACGTGAGAGCGGAGCAAAGATTCAATCCAAGTTAGAACATAGAACCCAAGCTCTTCCTGCTTTGTCTTCCAAAAGCAAGGGTACGGTGGGCAGATGAGGTCGGACTCTGCAGAGCCTGATGTGGAATGGAGTCAGTTGCTGGGGGGAAAGTTAGGATGACTGGAGGAGAATGTGGAGACAGCGTAGTATTCAGGGTATAAATTCAACCTTTCTGTTCATACTCGTCTGGGCTCAAATCCTGCCTCTCCCATGCCTCTGTGGTGGTGGACCTTTTGTTTGCCTTTTAGACTGGCTACATCTCAATTTCCTCCTCTTTGTGAAATGAATAACTCAGTGTACCTATTCAGAGGATTATTACAAAGGTTAAACAGATAGTTGAAGTAAACTGCTTATAAAAAGAGATGCCAAATTATTAAATCTGGGTAATAATGAATAAAGGCCTATATAACTCTCATTTTGCTTCTCTAAGGCATCCATTTTAAGAGATCTTCATAAAAACTCCAGCATTGTTGACACTAAGATTAATTTTAAGGTTTTGAAATCAATGGATAGAATCTATAGTTTGTCACTAAGGAAGAGGACAGCCTTCTTAACCTATTTGTCTTCAAATTTCCTTTTATTATGGCAAACCCATTTCCCCTGAACCCTAAATAACTCCAGAACACTTCATCTCAACACTTCACACAATGTCTCAAAGCTCATTTATGGAGCCAAACTTGCACAGGCTGTTGACCTTCCAGAGAACACTTTCCACAAAACATCCCTTCTCATGAGAGCTCTTCTGTCCTGGCCATGAAATATTGCCATCGGATGTCATTACCTGGAAAAATCTCTCCTTTTGCTAATTATTATTTTTGAGGAACAGACAATATCTAGGTTAACTGAAACATAGTGGAATCAGGGAATAGAATTAGTAGAATCAACATAAAAATGTGTACACCTCTTAGTCATGTCTTGGGCTGGAGAAAAGGGATTAAATAAACATCTCTATACATTTTGAAGAGTTATTATTTTTACTATAAAACTAACACATGTTCATTGTAGAAAATTTAAAATTTAGGAGTTTTAAAAAAGAAATTAAAACCACCTAGAGTCACATAAACTTCACTCACATTTAAAATGACATTTCAAGTTTGCTATTTTATAGGCAGTAAGGGCAGTGACTTACTGTTTTAATTTTGATTTCTTTGATTAGAGACGAGGATAAATATATTGTCATATGACTAGTGTTCATTTATTGGCCCTTACTTTTGACAATTGTCTGTTCATGCTCTTAATGTTTATATTGTGGCATTTACGAACTCACTATTGATTGCTAAGATATAGATGATATAAATTATTTCTCAGGCATAGCTGTTACATATACTGTTGCCTTAAAATATTAAGGGTTTAAAAAATATATATTGACATTTAGTCAAATGTTAAAATTTACAAATGAAATATTAAAACAAACTAAAAAAGTAAAGATACTAATCTTTTGTGGTTTCTTGCATTACTTTAAAATACACAGAAATTCTTCTCCTGGAAGTTTAGATTTTTTAAAAAAACTTAATCTTTTAATCTATTTGTAATTTACTTTGGGGTATGGCAAAGGTGAGAATGACCTAGGTTTCAT